GCGAGGAGGGGGATGCGGCGGCGGTAGAATAGGTTCGTCCGCGGATTTGAGGGTGGAAGAGTCGGGATGATATGCGTCGGGATGCCATGGTTGCAGTAGGTATGGAGTACGTAGAAGGAAGGGATGGAGGGATTGGTGGTTTGAGAAGTATGGAAGAGATCGAGACGATGGTCGGTCCGGGAGGAGGAGGATGGGCTAGGGGGTAGTCTTTCTGGTTTTCTTTTCCCTTTTGCTTTCTCCCCTTCCCAGGGGTGATGGTATGGTTTGCGAAGATTCAGGTTTAAAAGCTGGGGAGGGAGAGAGAGAGAGAGGGAGTTTCGACCCTGACGGTCTCTCCTCCCCTTCAATGCGTTCATGCGGGGAATGTTACCCCAGGTCCCCGCGGATAACCGCTCTTCGTGGCCTTATCGCCTTATCGCTGTGCCCAAGTGCCTGAGTGCCTGAGTGCCTGGCTCGGTCAGCGGTCGGCACTTGCTTCTCGCAGTCACAAGACAACAACACACTCATCCATGATACTTACAAGTACTTTGTCTTTATCCTTCTCTTTGTCCTGTGTCGACCTTCGAACGCTTCCTCTTCTCCAAGCTTCGAGCTCGCGAGCGGGATATGGATAGAGTTCGACATTCCAACAGGACAGGTCACACTTGTCTACGAAGAAAACAGAAATCCCGCCTGGAACAAATACTTGTCGATCATTTCCTGTCAGCTTGGTCTGGCAGGTTACTCTGATATCACAACTCGCCATTCCTCACCATGCCGTCTCCATGCTGGAGTAATGCGATTAAGTCAGTCAAGACACAGAATCTCTTATTCTTTCACTCCATATATACACAAACAAGGGTATCGTACATAAAAGGCTGAGCCAATATTTACAGATTCAAGAAACACCTCCAAGTAGCCCACCGGGCCCATAACTGTTCTTCGTTGACATCGCTCAATTGATCGACCCCCTAGACCGATTGTCGATCAGATTCAGTATCGCGGAAAGCCACCATCTGGTACTCGGAAGACCGATAGCGCCAGCGACTGAGGCGACTGAGTCTAGGATCAAGGCCGCAGCACCTGCAGAACCCAAGGAACAGGCCAACGCCGCTCATAACAAACGCGATGCCCAAGATCCAATAGTGCATGTTGAGCAGCCGTTCCATGGCACTGCCCCGCTCCCTCTGCAATAGCTCCGTGACGTCCAAGACATCCCCATGGGAATCAAGGGCTGCCAAGCGAAACAGGGGACTATCCAAGTTCTCCGGAATCTCGATCTCGGTTTCGAACCCAGCTTTGTCGTATTGTGCCACCACCTGGAAAGCGGCATCTTCCAGCTCGCCTGAGAGCCAAGTCTCTAGTTGCCACGCAACAACCTCTGTCGCCCCGTTCCAGCTGACATAGATTCGATTACCGATCACCTCGGCATCCGGAGCGGTTTGCGGCCTTCCAATCCAATCGCCTTTGAAAACCCGGTATGATACGGCGCGACCGAACCCAAAGAACACCGAGGCACCGAAATGGACATTGCATAACACTTGCCCGTCCCAGCTGAACTCGGTAAAAGCGGCATTATGGCCCCAGCCCACCAAGGCACGGCCATCGTCGTCCAAAACTTGCAGATTGCCCTGCGACACGGCTTTCATCTGCTGAGGATGATAGTACGCAGCCAGAAGGGTCGCTTCGCGCGCATCAACATTCAGATAAATCATCATGCCATGACTTTCCTCGTCGGGGTCTTTCGTCGAGTGTGCTGCATTGTTGAAAAGGGTGAGCGTGTTGTTGGGGTGCCAGCGCGCATCATGTTGCCAGGCAAAGTTGGTCGCCTTCCCGTCTGAAAGGTCGCGGAATTCGTTCAATTTGCCTCCAAGTGTCCACAAAACCACACCGCTGTTCTTGTCAATGCAGCTGACAGTATGGGTGTGTCGTGCCGATACGATATAGTTCCCGCTATCATCCTTTTCGATACTATTGATGTGGTAATAGTCGAAGGCAGACGATCGGGTGGTCCCAGAGGCTCCCAGTTTTTCATAGGTGCTATTGATTGGGTAATGTTTGGATGCACGCCATTCAAAAAGCAGTTCGCCCGTCGCGATATCGATTTCCTGGAATACCCCATCATGGATCCATCCCAGTTCAGGGCCTCCAAGCGAAGTCAAATCAGCAAGCACTGGGTCATAAATTGTTACAAGAGCAGTTCCCTGAGGCGTGATGTGGAACTCATGAAGGTCACCGCCGTAACTTCCGACCGGGGTGATCACGTATCGCTGGGTGTAGGTGGAATCCAACTGTGACAGGTCAGCTTATTGGACAGTTGGAATGTTTTCTGATGCCACCCACCATGTACCAAGCTCCATAGCCTCTACCTTCAATTTCGTCACCCTCCCAATATGTGAGGTAATCAGCACCCTGATACCGCTGGACCCTGAAATCCTGGGTTATCTCCCAGTTGTGCTTCATCCAAACCAACTCACCCCTGGGATCGAGGATCATGGGGCCCGGCTGAGCAACCGAGTCGCCTCTAGGGGCTAGAAACGTTAATCGTGAATCGCATCCCGATCCTTGTTCCGAGATTTGAACCAGTGGAGATTCATAGTCGAAGGAGACATAATCCTGAGACGGACCGAAACCATAGAGCCCCAGGTCGTACCAGCTCAAATCAGTCCTGAGATGCAATCTTCGCAGCTGCGGCACGGCGAAGACGTAGAAAAGGTACAGCAGACTCAGGAGAGCGCCTAGCGTGGCCACATGTAGGCCAGAAAACCTGGACCGCAAGCGATGAACATATGACAGACTGCGAGTCCCCGAGGACATTGGAACATCGCGGTGAGAGATTGAGACACCAACGCGCAAAGAAAGGGGAAAGGGGAGACAAGAAGAGCTGGCCGTGCTCTTGGTTATAAGAAGCGCAATTGGAGACAGGGAATATTTCGGAACCGGCCAACAAGCTACGAACTCCTGGGAACACCTCCTGCTTGGCTTTGATCGCCATCGCGGCTAAATCAACAACAGCCAGGCGTTATTGTACGTGTCATTTGTCGAACATCAATAATGGGGCTGGTTCCCGAGACCCGATAATGGCATGGAGGGGAGGGGTAGGGGTAGGTGTCCAAACTCCAAATTGAATTCATCACACGCGCGGCATAGAAGGGAACCAGTATCTCCTGCAATGGGGCACATCTCCACGCAAGCAGGCCCAGGCCAACTGTGATTTGGTGCGCGCGAGCAAGTTCCATGTGTGCCAAGGTCATCACCGTGGATCGGGGTCACCCAGCCAGTCCACCTTGGCAATTCCCAAAGGATGTCTGGCCCGCAGCGTGGCGGTGTCTAGTCTCGCATCGAGCCAGCGCTTAATTTCTATTGGTTTACACCCCGAGTCTTCCAATATCGCACAACCGAAGCTCGGCATTAGATACTTCATTCAGGTTGGTTATCTGATCTGTTGCGCTCGCTACGACTACTCGGTAGGACGACTGAGAGCTCAACCGCTGCTGAAGACAGCCACTTGGACCCGCTTGCGCGTCGTCAACCAACAGCGCCAGAGAGTCGATATTCGCATCGCAGGCGGTTGATCTTTATCAGATGTGCTTGTGCACCGCCGAATCACAATCATTGAATCGATTATGGGCCCAGGATCCATGACTTGCACCGGTCGGTTTCGGGCGGACCGCCAACGTGGCCGAAGAAATAGATTGAGTGTGATCAACAACAGTTCAGAATTCAGGAGTCACTCCGTGTTCTGGAAAAATGCTTGGAACTTTTGCCAGTGTCTTGGCCTCCCTTGGGAACCCAGAAGAACCCCTGTCGCGCTATAACTGGAACCGGTCATCTGCTCCACCTCACCCTCCGAAATGGGATTCTACGGAAGCTTTGACAATGAGGATTTTCCTTCTAGCGATTGAGACGCCAGCCAATGATGGAGGTCTATCCCCGCGAAATTCGAGACAAACTTACCATGCGTATGTCACCTACTACGTAATGTGTCTGCCTCTGGACTGGTGACAGACAACAGTCAAGCGTATCCTAACACTTTAACAGGGCCCCTAAAGCCTACTAGGGACCAATCGGTGCCGGACCCACTGTCTCTGGCGCACTGCCAAGAACGGGAAGATGTCACTGATAAACGGTTCTCGAAGGGTGATTGCGCTCTCAGACACAAGCTTGCGTACGCAGTCGGCGCGCGAGATTACCGATTCACCGACTCTCAATCCTGTACTTTGTGTTGGACTCTGATTCCTGGTGTTATCGTAGTGCGGAGAAACCAGCAAAAGCCAGTCTAAAAAATGTCCGGGGCCAGGTTCATTCAGCGGAGACTAGTCCCAACCGAAATTCAAGACCGCCAGAGATGTCAGCAGAGCGATCAATGTGATGAACTGTTAAACATAAGTATCTGGACAGATGGAGGCAATGGGACAAGCGACAAATCCCAAACGAGGGGCTTGTGCCAGCCGCCCGCCTCCGATCATTGCCCGATGCAAAATGGGCTAGCGTTGTTATCATACCGTCGTTATCATATTACTACTCCGAACTGAAGTGGTACTTTGCGGGACGACCACTTTATTTTACCCGCTCATACCACTCTGGTACGAGTACGAGTCCAAAGAAACCCATTCGCCCATTCGCTCTTCGAGAATAAGATCTCCTCAAATTGTGCCACAATGACGCCACTTTTCTTGATTGTTAACAACGATTGGATTAAACCTGGACAAACCCCTCCGTCATGTCCGGGTCTCGGCAAAATCGGCCAAGGCAGCAACAATCTCGGAGATCCGCAGCAGCAATCATTTAGCGCCCGGCGTTGAATGCAATAGACTGCAATAGACTGCAATAGACTGCAATCACAGAATTACGTGCTTTGCCGGATGCTTGACAGCAAGATCGTCATCGATCAATCTTTTGGTCCGATCCCCGACAACAGCGGCCGAGCATAAGCGATGAAGTACCGCCGGGGAATTGCTCCCCCGATGAATAATCGACTGGACCTGAAAGTGGTCTTGGCTTACAGGTGATTTTGTCTTCTACTTGCTTGATCGGTTTTGAGAAAGGTTTGGCAACCGCCCAAGCGATGTTCCAGGACCTGAGATGATGGCCGGGGTGGAGGAGTGTTTCGCACTATCGGGACTGTCTGGCCCTTCGATCATGACTTTACCAGTCAGTGACACCGAACGAAACACCCCATCTAGCGACCGGGGCTATGGATCTATACCGGACAATGACCTGTCCCGTGTCATCGACTCGAGAACATCATCTACACCCTGGATGCCCTTGGCATCAAGAATCCCCCTCCCAGCATCTTCCAACCGCACAACGGGCGAGGTCGATCCCTGCAAGTACACGTCCTCAACGTCACTCTCAATAGTGCGTTCCGCTGTGCCCTTCAGCCTCTCCACGACTCTGGTCACCACGCTTGCATCCCAGAGTCCATCCCGTCGGGGCAGTCGCGGGTTTTGTAGCAGGGATAGTGCCGTGTTCACCGTGACGGGATCGCTGCTTTTCAGGCAGACGACGTAGAGCCCTGCGATGAGCTGCGTGGTGAGCGTGAATCCAGGTGGAGCATCTTGACTTGATCGGGAATCTGGAGGGTGACTTTCGCCCCCGCCGCCGATGTTAGACTCGCCGAGGAGCATGGCCATATCGCTCAGAGCGGCGCTTAGCGCAGAATCTGTGGCAACGGATGATGAAGTTGCACTCGGTATGCTATGCATGTTCTCTAGTAGAACACTGTGGAACAGCTGCGCTTGAATCCGTAAGAGGAGCAGATGCTGTCTGACTTTTGGGTCTCTGGGTAGAGGTGCGTGAGTGATGGAGTGGAGGAAGGCCCGGAAGGCAGCGTCGAGCGCTAATCGCTCCTGACATATCTCCAGCGGGAGATTGATGAGTGGTACGTTCTTGTTGGGGAGATGCACGAGCAGGTGCCGCAGGAGTCGTGCCTGGAGACTAACAAGGATCGTTTCGGGGTAGTTGTTGGGGTCGCCCGACACATGCCTTATCTGTGGTGCTGGTATAGGTTCGTGGCTGACGAGCACCAACAGACAGGAATCATCTTATATACTAGCTTGGATGTCCAGTCGCCCCAGGAGAGCGCCCGGATGTGGGAGGATATCTTCCGCCACCCCACACGCGGTCTGCGGCGGAGACGGATGGTCTCGGTACCGTTGGAACAGGATTAACGCCTGATCCAGGTGCCGGATAGCGTTGCCCGCCTGTCCGATTAGCGACTCGAAGGCGTAGAAGAGCACCCCGCAGATCAGGGCGACTTCGTACGAGGCCTGCGGGGAGGAGAGATGCATGCGCAGCTGCCGATGCGATCGGGCGATCAGCCGGAGATCACTGGGCGAAGGTCGTTGTCGCGGGCGACTATCCCCCTCCCCCTCCTCGCTCGTTAGCTGGCCGCTGTGGCTGTGGTAATCCTGATAGAGGGCACTCAGCGTGACGAGTGCATTGCGGATGATGGGTTGGGTGTGGCAGCGCTGGAGGATGAGGCGCGTCCACAGCGTCGGGCCGGAGAGGCTCGAGAGACCCTCGGCCGCTTGACAGCAGTAGAAGTGCAGCAGTTGCCGATCGGCTTGGCTGTCGGGGACTTTGAAGGGGATGCTCTAGGTTGTGATCGACCGGTCTGGGATCTGTTGCTGGACTGGCGTTGCGTATCCCTCGCACACGCGGTTGGAGCGGTCGCAGCGTTGGCAGCTGGGTTTGGCTTCGTCGCATTTGACTCGGCGGGCTCTGCATCGGGTTAAGAGTCAATTCTTTGGCAAGGAGAAGGAAAACGCACTTGCAAGTCCGGCACCCGGAGCGCACTTTATGTGTGCTTCTGCGTGCTCTTTTCATGGTTGTGGGAAGGTGAGTAATGCTTGTTGAGGCTCGTTGAGGCTCGTTGAGGCTGATTTGAGGGGTCGCTGACACTAATTTAGAACTAAATTATACGAGAGGGCTTGGCGGTTCCTGACATGGTCATTATACTACATTTATCCTTCTCGAATGCTGCGTGCCTAGTTTTTGGAATAAGATGGAAATATACAAGGGTTGGCGTTCGCAGGCAGCCGTGATGGGTAGGAGCTATAAATTTTGCTGGCAACCTCACTGAGTATGAGTACTCAACGCTTCACTGGCAGCAGTGGCACATATGTTGTGAGAACTGGCTTCCAATGCATCAACGCGACGACCAATCTTGAAATCCCCGAAGCCGACTGTCTATACCGTCCGCGGACATACAACCAATCCAGCACCTATCGCCCGATCCCCAAGGAGACAATATGAGACTTGCTTTGCTGGGAGGTAACAATTAAGTGTTGATAAATGAAATGTTTGCATGCATTTGTTGACACTTGTGAATTTGCCCGGTGTTCCCTGGACTTCCTATCTGGGAAAGAGACTGTTTGGGTTTGAAGATAGTGGCCAGTAACTGTTTATTTCTGCGTCCACGGTGAATGAGAAGCCCTCTGACTGGCGGATCACTTGCATCTGCAGCAAATCACCGGTACCAAGTGGTCTGCTGACTCAGTGAACTTGGAAATGCCCCGCCCCCGCCTGATTGTCCGATGCCTTTCTACTCATGTACTGTACACTCACTAACTTGCTTCTTCTTCATTCCAAAGCTACACTATTTTTCCAGATACCATCAGATTGACAATGTCGTCGTCGTCAAAGTCCTCATCGCCCGAGCCGGATAGGATGCTCCGACCAGAGAAACGGAGACTCCTCCCTCAAGCAGATGATGGCACAGCAGACCCTGAGGACTACCAGCTCCACAAACAACCATCAAGATGGCGGTCTCTCGTCCGGAGAGCTCTCGTCACTTTCTTACTTTTTGTGATGACGATACTCTCTTTGTTACTATTCTTCTTCCTTGGCCGCATAATCTCCGGCCATCCACAGGGTCCTGTTCGTGACACCCAGCCTCCCGTACACAATCCAATCAAGAATGTTGTGGTGGTCGTACAGGAGAACCTTTCTTTTGACACCTTTGCCGGGGGACTGACCTATAACGCGGACATTGACGGGCTTATTCGTACACAATACTGCAATCCAGCCAATATTTCTGATCCGGAGTCTCCTCAAATCTGCGCCAAGCCAACCGCGCAGGACATTGCCCCCGATGACCCCGACCACAGCATCGCCGGAGGCAATCTGCAGATCTATGGCACTTATGATCCGAAGCCAGGCACTGACCGTCCCACCATGCAGGGCTTTGTGACAGAACAGGTCCGCGCCTATGGGCTTGACGGGGACCTCGGCCGTGCAGCCGAGGTCATCAACTACTACCCCCCCGACGGCGTCCGCGTCCTCAATGCTCTGGCAGAGAATTTCCTTCTCTTCGACCGCTGGTTTGCTTCCGTTCCCGGTCCGACGAATCCCAACCGTGCGTATCTGACATCGGGCACGTCGCACGGCCATGGGTCCAACGACCCCGACTTCGACACCTCCTCCCTGCCCCAGGTCTCCATCTTCGAGCAGCTGACGGCGGCCAACATCAGCTGGATCAACTACTCCAATACCACAGGGTTCCTGCCGGATGCCCTCTTTTATACCTGGACCAAGATTTCTGGCCACGGGGTGTCGAACGTCAAACCGATCGATCAGTTCTACAAGGACGCCAAGGCAGGCACCCTGCCGCAGTTCACCTGGATCAACCCGGAATGCTGCTCGTTCACCTCCTTCCACCCACCCTCGCCGGTTCACCTCGGGGAGGGTTTCCTCAAGAGTATTTATGAGGCACTGCGAGCGTCCCCGCAGTGGAACGAGACCCTCTTCATTCTCACTTTCGACGAACATGGCGGATTTGCGGACCACGTGCCCCCTCCGGAGAATGTGCCTGCAGGGGACGATCTTCCATACACAGAAGCTGCCCGGGACGGCACCCAGACGACTTTCCGATTCGACCGGCTGGGTGTACGGGTTCCTACTCTGCTGATTTCGCCTTGGGTGGACAAGGGAGCCGTACAACACGGACCGACCGACCAACCAAACGATTTCACCCACACCTCCATCTTGAAATATGTGGCGGAACTGTGGGACCTACCCCTGTTGACACCCCGCGTAGCCTGGTCCCCTAGCTTTGGCAGCTTGATTCGAGATTCTTCGCGATCGGATACCCCCGAAAGACTACCCGAGCCGTGAGCGTACCATTTGGCGGGGCCATTTCTTGGTTTTCTTTCCTTCATGGAAGTAATAAAGCACAAATATGATTATATCGTGATGCTATGGTGAGCGATGCTATGCTATGCTATAGTATGGTATGGTATCACGGGTGGCTTGCGCCACTATTAAAGTTGGTATGATGCTGAGTGACTAGAACCCCAGCCACTTCTTCCGCTTGGACTGCACGGAGCGGGACCGCGAGCGCTGCGTGATGGCGGAGTTGCGGGTATTCACTCGGTCGATGTCGTACGGATTGGCCTCGTACTGCCGCTGCGAGTCTTCCTCCGTGGACAGCGAGCCGCCTCGCTCCAAGTCCAGCTCCTGGTCGATAGCCGTCGCGTCCACCCCATCCGCCACAGCTTCCGCCTCTTCATCCTCCACCTCGACCTCCTTCTCGGGGTGGTGCAGGGTCTTGTCGGCCAGTTTGCGCATGAAAGCATCCGACTCGGCCGAATACTTGCACTTCCGCCGGATAGTCGCTCCGTATTTGTAGAAGATGAAGGGGAATGGCAAGCACGCCAGCGACAAGAATGCCGGGATACAGGAGGCCCAGTGGATGCCCAGGTTGTTGTACATGTAGGTTGTGAACAAGGGAAAGCCGGCACCGAAGCAGCTTCGGATGATCGAGTTCGCGGCCAAGACGGACGCCGCGTAGATGGTGTACGAGTCGATCAGATACGACATGATGTTCAGGAAGACCAGCACCATGCCGAAGCCGAAGGGCGCGGCGGCGATGATGCACACGATCCAATGCACGGAGGGCCCGTTGGTCCACGCGAACCAGAACAGCCCGACGGGGATGGTGATGGCGCCGATCATCGTCGGGGGCAGCCGCGCCTCCGGCGGCGCGAAGCCATTGTACTGCTCGTGGATGCGCCGGTACCGTTTGTTGTCGTACATGTTGTAGCCCACCGCCGTCATCATGCCGACCATCACCCCGAGGAACGGCAGCGACCCGATGCCCTCGCTCCAGCCGCGCATCTCCTGGAACACGATGGGGAACGCGTCGAACAGCATGTACAGGGTGCCGTAGACGATCGCCATGTACAGCGACAGGAGCAGCACGATCGGCTCGGCGAAGAGCAGCACCCAGGGCCGCAGGAGCGCCGCTCCAAAGGCGTTCGCCACGGACACGCGGCCGCGCTCCCGGTCCAACTTGCTGCGGTACACCTTGCCCGTGAGCTTGCACAGCCGATCAGCCCGCGCGCGGAGCAGCAACGGCGCATAGGTCTCGGGGATCATGAGGCACTGAATGATCCAGATCAGGCCGGAGAAGGCCGCCAGCAGGCCCTGCACCCATTTCCAGCCCGCGCTCTCGCCGAGGAAGCCTCCGATGATGGGTCCGATGGTCGGTCCTGTTCGCTTACAATCAGCATGCTGTCGGCGAGGACACTGTATTAGGAGGGAATCTTACCCAAGAATGGCGCGCCTGCGAACAAACTCATCGCCAGTCCGCGCTCCTCCGCAGGGAAGACATCCGCGATCACGCCGCCGGCATTCGTGAGCGGGGACGAGCCGAACGAGCCCGCGAAGAATCGGAGGATGATCAGGGTCCACGCGTTGCGGGATCCGGTCGCGCCGGCGCAGAAGACCGCGAGGCCCAGGTACGAGATGGCGAAGACCAGCTGCCGGCCGATCAGCTCGCTGAGGGGCGCCCACACCAGGGGGCCGACGGCGAACCCCAGCACGAACAGCGACACGCCCAGGGTGGCGACCTCGGTGCCGATGCCGAAGGACGCGACCACCTGGTCGATGCTCCCCGCGTAGGCCGACGAGGCCATCGACACGCCGAACGTCGCGAAGGCCGCGATGATGGTGAAGGTCCATTTGCGATGCTGCGGGAAGAGCATCGGGTTGCGCGGGTCGTCGGGGATCCATTCCACGATGAAGGGGTCCTCCTCGGTGCCCTGGCCGCTGTAGGGGTGGTTGATGACGTCCTCGGTGACGGCGCCGTGGTCGACCAGGACGCGCCAGTAGGGGATCCGCGCCGGCCGGGATGAGGCATTCTCAGTTGATGCGGCCATAGTGGGCTGTGGATGTGGTTATTGCCGAGTCCGACGGGAGAGTAGCGGCCGCGGCGCGTGGCGCATTGCTTGCTTGGCTTGAGCCGAGCAATTCCTTTTTGGTGTCAGGGCAGAAATATCGGGCCCGAAAGAGCGAAGGGCTGCTACAGGGAAAGATTTCCGACTTTATATGAGTTGGGGGATTTGGCTATCATTACGGAAATTGCAGATCGGATGGTGCTATCAGAAAAGAAAATTCTGCTTGCAGGTGGTTCAACCCCTTCCTGAGGGATTCTGTGGTTATCTATCTGACTTGGGACTTAAGTTACTCAGTATGATTTAAGGTCAGACCATGCGTGCAGAAACTGGCCGAACAGCAGCAGAAGCATTGAATCATTGCAGTGGGTCAGGCACTAAGAGGGGCACGGCGAGTCAAGACTGCAGTCGCATTGGCTATTAGGGCCCCGCTGAGGGGCTGGCCCCCATTCCTTCGGCTATCGCTTCGGCAAACCGAGGGCCTGGAAGGGGGCTCCAGCCGAGGTATCGTCTCCTGCCTGTATTGATTCGAGTTTGTGTATGAGGCTCGTTTGGTTTGGCTCGGGTTGCCGGTTTGGAAGTTCTAGAAGATGTGTCAGGGTAGAGTGGAGTCATTGGAGTGTCGTGCTGGAGGTGGAAGCTTGGGCTTTATACTGCTGGTTGAAGGCGGTTTGGTGGTGAGTTGGGTTTGGCTGTGACGTCATCGGACTGGGTATCTGGCTTTTTTGCTCTGTCGCTGTTGGGTTTGCTGGAGGGTGCATTTGCTAATGAGCAGGGCTTGCTGGGTATAGATGCACAGGACATACATGTAGAATATTCACTCAAGATGTCAACTACCTTACCAATCTTACTGCCTAATGGCGCTGGTGAATCCCACAGATAAACTGGCCCTACCTATTGGTCATTCACACCATCACTATACAACAATGTCAGGCCTGGTGTGACTGCTAAGGACACCTCTTTCACCTACCAGTATCATTAACCAGATGCGTGGGATTCAACCCTGCTGTCTACCCAGAGGTCCATAAAATCTCTGTCGATCCTCTCCCTCTTCCAATCTCTCTTCTCTCCGCTTCTCTCCTTCAACCAATGCACCAATGCACCAAGCCACTCTTCCACTTCTCCACTCCACTAACCTTCGATCTATCCCTATCTACTATCAATATGTTCTTCATCCATCTTCATCCGTCAAGTACATATTGATGAGATATCATGCAGTCTGGGGTCTGTTTAAGTAGGAACCTCATCCGTGCATCATGGATATGACCTGTCTTCTCTGAAAAGGGACTATGCCTATGTCGCACATACACAGACGGAAAGCTCTACGATCGCTTGAATATCTTATCTTCTTATCTAGATATCCTTATTACACAGATACAGACAAGCGGGTCATACACTGTCATGGTCAACATGACTCATCTTACGACCAGATGTAACCCTGTGCATGCTGCTGGCCTGAACCTCTCAAGACAACGTTCGCGTATGCATATCTGGTTCCTGTGAGCGTTTCCGAGCGATACGGCCAGGTAAGCGGGAAGCAATTTAAGAGTCCATGAAATCCATCCATGATGAGCTGAGTCAGGCAGGTCTCCTGGGCTTGGAGACGGTTAGCCCATGCTGGCCTGTCCTGGCGTCTCTGCGATTGGGAATATGACGTGGTCACCTTGGACGACAATCAGAGCCGAATACGTCTGGGTTGCAGTGCTGGGGCCGACAAAGGTGCTGATCTTTGTTTACGTCGCCACCACAAGATGTCATTACTCAACTCCCAGAGATCCACGACTGAGAAAGACGCTGGGAGTACCACCAAAACACTACCTACACACCGGTCCAGTAATAGCAGACAAGTCGGGTCTTGCTGATCAGTTTACCATGGTTATTGAAATTAGCTCACAAGCCCCGCAGACAGTGACAGGCTGGGGTTTCAAAATTCCCCCTTGGGGTGGGTACATGGAAGGCCGTATGCTTGTCTACAACGAAGCAGAGATCACTACGTCCAAAAGACTGCTAGAGAATGGTGAACTATTAGACCGGGTTGCAGACAACCTCGACTACACCAGCTTCGCACTTGCAAAGGACAGTCATGGAAGGGCAAGAGACCAGCAGAAGCTGCGCCAGAAACGTTTATCAAGACAAAAAAGGCAAAATCGCCTACCTCAGGTTCACCTGCTACGGCGCTAGCGTCTACTGCTCCTTCAGCTGCTATTGCTCCTTTTCTTACACCTACACAACTAGCTGCAAGGTTCTATGAGTGATGCATGGTGCAGGCCTTCCAGAATTGGACGACGACCGGTCCCGGATCGCATTGTGACAGGACCTTGCGACGCAGGAGTGTCTGCGCAAATGCTATGGTCGAATGCTCCAGGGGTTGACGTGCTCACTCGTAGCTTGCTGCGGATGTGTTGAAGAAGTTGCACTAAGCAAAAGCGCGGCGAGGCAGAAAGCACTTATGCAGGTTCGCAAGTCTACTCTGCTAAGCCTGAACTCCCCACGGCTGGAACGCTCACGGATCGGTTTCTGACTGATCTGGTGAGTCTTACACAATTCGGTGATAGGATGCGTCACTTGAAGCAGATTCTCCTCAGCCATAGGGACAAGTTCGTTCGGGATTGTTTAACGGCCATTGCCGCAGCTGTCGCTGAACAACGCCCAGATCTTGGCCCGGATGTCTCTGGATCCGCTCCTTTATCCACTGCCAAGCGGTTTCGGTTTATACTGTTGGTCTCGGAGAATAAAGCGCGGCGCTCGCCTGGTCGTCCCCAGCAGACTCCTAGCAAGAATGTCGAGGAGATGATAGAGAAAGATTAGTTAGACTATCCCGTTGTGGGTCGCAGACTGTCGAATCCAAGCAGACCCGGTCTCCTCCTACCAAGGCTGACCCGTCGCCATCCACCTCCGCGGCGTTGCGCAGGTTGGCTGCTGTGCGCCGGATGCCGGTTGATGCGCATTCGAATAAGGAGTTATCCAAAGTTGGTACTCATTTCCTTGGCTCCTGTCTCTTGCGTGTTCACGACTGGCTCAAGCCGGTGCTTCTGCCCCTGCAGGATGTTGGTCTCTTCCCGTTTCTACCAAGGAGGCAATGCTTGCATCAAGTCTTCTTATATCAGTTCTCGGTGCCTGGACTGCCCTCAACGCAGATCCGGAGTGCACGTACTATACATGACGGTGGGTCAAGAAGGTTTTCAGAAGCTGAAGACACGAGCCCAGTCTCATCGGCAGCACGTTACCTGTGCGAATGAAACACAGATTAGTGAAATGCAACCTGCGAGGGGAGGCGGGCAAGGCTTCGAGCAAGGAAGGCGCGCTCAACACTCAACATGGCCATATAACGCTCGCAGCGAAACTGCCAGACACGTTGCCTGCGGTCTCCCACCTGCTCGCTGACAAGAACGGCTGGAACGTGTGGCTACATAAAATCCTTACGAGCCTGCGTTCCCACCGCGCCGAAGGACTTCTCGATGCCAGCCTTCCTCGCTTGAGGCCTACATCTCCACACTTTGACACCTGGGAACAGTGGTCACTTCTCGTCGGCGGATGGCTGACGAAGCGAATCGACCTAATGACCCGCCCTAGCCGGTAAGGAGCTTGACGTGGTTCACGACTCAATGAAGTCTATCCAGTAGGAACATGTTTGCTCGTGACTGAATGACTCGAACCATGAGGAGAACAATTGCTGGTGAGGGGCAGGTTGATCGCCGAGGCAGACAACCCTGCCTCTCTTCTCGGGACCTCCAGTGCTTACTAGGTAGTAGTGCGTTTGCTCGCTTAGTGAAAGTCTCAAATAACTGCGCGGGGACGAGGGCTGTATCGGATCGTGGTTGCTCAATGAATGACTTTCTTCGTCTTCAAAAGATCCTCAAGGCAACACCCGGTCGGAAGTCCACATGCCCAAGAGGATAAAGTCAGATCAGATTCAATGTTCCCAAAGAAGAGCCCTGACCGTATAGATATATGGCGCTGTGTTGCATGGTGCTGTGTTCACGTGAAATGCACAAGAACTGGCTAAGACTGGGAGAAATACCACGAAAACGCTGTCCACGGAAAGTACGTTCTCTCTGAACAAATGAGTGTTGAGCATGCAAAAATCAGTCTACTGATCGGATTCGAGTGAGTAGATCCTTCGGTCTAAGTCCTCAGCTATTCATAGACATTACCCCAGAGGCGAGCGATAGTGTGAAAGCGCAATTGTTTGAAAAAGTGCCTGGACTGGTATCAAAAGCGTTGACTCCGCCACTTCCTCCTGTCGGTGGGTATTGGCCGGCAACTGCATGACACTGCTGCCGGAATGAGTCGCGTTAAGACTATTAATAGTGTTGTGATCTACTGCCAAGTTCACTACAAACGCAGTCTTTACGAGGGATTTCATGACATTAACCATATACAAATCTGGAGATCCGGTTACAACGAGTAAAGACTATGCACGAACCTTCATCGAGTTCTGATCAGGACGAAAAGAAGGAAGTACGTGACTGGGCTAAGCACAAACAGATAACCTGGATTCTGTCCGGTCCAAATCAAACTCGTTGTCGAACACCAGACGATTACTTGTCTGCCTGAGGCTATGCATCATCAATTGCATTATTTGATTTCAAAATCGAACTTGATCGAATGATCTTGAATGACAAAGTGTCGAAAGCCTGGACTTTTCTTACAGTGCCTTCCTGTGCGAAGGAGCTGGGGGGAGGAAGCCCAATGCAGAGAATTAGCTGATTGCAGTCAGGGCTCGAAGTCCATCCGAAGTGGTCATGGCGGCGTAGAGAGAGTGCGTCTTGATCTGCGCCTATACAGCCTGTCTTTGAGTTGCAATTGCACGGCGGCTCAGTTTCCGAGATTTGCTACCGATACCACGCAATTGCGACTTGCCCAGCTCCGCGATTTTGAGTGTACAGTCAGTCCATCCCTTGTCAAGTGCAAAGACCCTTTCAATAACTACTGGACCAACTTTAACACTTTCGCCAACCACTGATCACAGCGGACTTTGCAAATTGATTATAGTACTCGTGCTACCAACTTATACGCCGCGTTCATTGGTCTCCGATGCTTAAGGAGATGTACAGCTATTACATCCACAAACCTGTTTGTCAGCTGAGTCTCAAGGACCCTTTATGTGACCTCTCGTATCTTCTACGTTTGATTTATCCTCTCCATGATAAGGATCCGAACACAAAGCAACAATTGTGATATGCACACAAAGCCTGCCAGGTTCATCTAGCCGCTATACACAACGAATCGCACCTTTCAGACAATTGCCAGCCCTGCTTGCCGGCAACTGGAAATGTTTCCCAGGTTAGTCTGCAGCTACTGCACCACCACTAGTGGTGCACATGGTGTGTTCGTGGCAGAGATAATCGAGAATCGCCGTTCACCGAAATTAAATCTAATCCCTAAAAATGTTAAGCAGTCCCCTCATGGGATCAACAGCACTGCAGATTGAAGTGGTATCAGCCTCATTGGAATGGCTCGTGAGACATATCACATACTCACTGAGTGTTTTCCGCATCCTTGAGGTGTTCTTCGGGGGTTTCATCAACCATGCTCCACAAAAAGCGCCCTGTGCCTGTCTGGCTCGGGTACCGTACGCAAGGAGCACCCTGGACTTTTTTTTCCGACGGATAAATGACTTTGTAGTACTGAGTGAGCATTTTGCATTATTCACATGACCGGCATATGTTGCATGGGCAGCGTCATAAAATGTCCACCGGTGGAAGGAAACCGGCCCGCCCCCACCCTCGATACAGACCCAACAACAAAATGAAGCCGGTAACGCCTCCTTGATGCACCTCGTACCTGAAGGATGGTGCCGAATCGCCGTCATCAGCATGGCACAGAAGCAGGATCGGTAGGACAGCCAAAGATAGAATACGAGGAACCAGCCTGCCAAGCAATAGGTGGACAGGAAGTTTGACACGAGGCAGCACATAGGGCCGTGTCAGTTGTACAAGCAATTTTGCCGATTGGGGATCCGGCAATGGACCTGATCCCAAGGTGTACAGCCGGCGTGCGTCATCTCGCCTGGAAGGAGGCCGGCCTCTTACCCAAGGCCTCTCTCTAACATGTGTTGACAACCAAAGAGTTGATATAGAGACATGAGGATTGGTCTCAAGCAAATTTGACTACTCACTGCGGCACGGTGCTGCTGTGGCTTTGGACCGCAGTCAAATGGTTGTGCCAGCGAGGAACCATGGCTGGCTTGAGAGCGACCCTAATCCCTGGCAGAGAGCTTTTGTCTAACCTGCGCCGACGTAGCTTCTTCAGCGCGTGTTCAGGAAGGTTGAATGTCTTTGTTACTTTTCCAACCATTTCTTCCAGCACGGTGATCACAATTCTACCTCCTTGTTATGCCACAGAATTATCGACTCACGTTAGCCAAGCTAAAAGAGGTCCTCTCAAAATGTATGCCTGAAGCATTCGCCTTCTTCCATTTTGGCCCCACCGAGCTGCAACTGTGGCAGTCGAGGTTGAGGGAAAGCCTGTTTCGAGTACCTTGAGAATTGTTCTTGATTGTTGAGCATTTGCCGTACATCGAGCTAAAAGGAATAGCCTGGACAGTCACTCCACGCTGGATATCTGAACCCAAATACTGGGGGGTGGTGGGCTGGCTAGTGATTAGAGACTCTGATGTGGTGGGCGATGATTCTCGTGTGTATGGCCTCGGGAAATACTTCGGACATGGACGGCGCCAGAGAGATGATTATAGCGACCTGTGTCACAGAGTGAAATGCAATATCATTCCAAGCCTTGATGACACGGTTTGTCCTGACGGGCGCAGCAGAAGGCCAATGTCACGCCTGTGTGGAGGGGAGCATTGACCGGGTATAAAACCGTATCCTTCAGAGCTACGTCTACCTATCGCCTCAAGTAATGACAGCAAGGAACACCTGCAACATAACGGAGATGAAATAGGTGCGACAACGCGAGTGCAGGCATGGAGCCCCCGATGCTCCCAACGCAAGCGGGGAGGCCCAAGTGCACGGCGAGAACACAGTATCAAATCCGGTCTCACAGCTGGCGAACGAGTAGTCAATGAAGACTACTGGGTTGCAGATATCGCCGGCATAATACTGATTGCCTCGTACACACACAACGAGCAATGTTCCACTGCCAGGCAACGACGTATAAGCTACTGCTATATCAGTCAAATGCAGTCACTGGTACAGTTGCTGCTCACTTCTATTCAGGAATGGCAACTGCCGATTGGCCCCTGAGATCTAGTCAGCTTATCGAGTGAAACCTATTCAGGACTCACGACGCCAGATGTATGTTAGTTCCGCGGCTCAATTCTTGTGTTGTGCCTCTTTCCTAGGGGATATCCGAGGCACGGCGTACACCACTACCGACACCACCACAACATCTCACAACGGAAAGGCAATCCATCAATCCTTTTCCTCTGCTATCACACGTGCGTGTACGGTACTCGCTAGTTAGTTATAGACGAAGAAGAAAAACAAGTGGAACAAACTTGGACAACCGCGTTGCAATGGTTGCAAAGACTACGGTCATTTTGAAAGAACAGTCCTCATGCTAACATGTGGGAAGGCATTTGGGGGATAGTAAGTGCTTCTTTGGTGTTATGCAAGTAGGTTACCGGGGTATGTATCCAGGCACCCTGGTAACGATGAGGTCCTGGCTAGGGCGAGAATTATAGCACAGATCCCAGTGCGGATGAGGTGGATGACCAGGCAAAGGTCCGGCGAGATTCTGCAGTTCGCTATACAGGCCTCTTCCAGATTTACTGGACGGAACAGAAGCGCTAATCCACGAGCGGTTGAGGTACCCTACATAGCACCCACATAAAGGTCGATTCGCATGCATACTCGCCGACAAGTGCCCCGACTCGCTATCGACACGTCTACAAACCAATGGAAATGACTGAAAGTGAGGCAATTTGACAAGAAAATAACGCCCCTTGGCATACAGCGGCGCTATTCAGTCAGATAGCCTTACTATGAGAATCACCATGCAACCAAGGGTTGGCTTAGCGCGATGCCTGTCTGCTTTTTCAGTTTTCTCAAAATTTAACTTCCTTGCGCTCCGTCGGGACATGGCAATGTCCTCGCATGGCGATACTGTCAGTCATAAGCTTCAGATGGCCTTCAACAACGCAGAGAGAAGAAATAATGCGGCGGAAGGGCACCTCGCCTATGAAATGGGCTCGGCCACACCAGTAATCTGACCGCAGTTCGTTGGGATTTTGCGCTGGTCAATTATCGATATGGAATATCCGGCGCCTGTTCCTACAGAAGCCCTTCATTATGGTATGCCCCACCGGCCATACAGTGCGGAGTTTGTCCCACCCCATCAAGCCGCCTGATATGAATTCAATTGAGAATCCATGGCATGTGAGCCTGTTTCATATTTGGGAGCGTCGACACCAGATTGTCGAACTTTGAGCACTGGGGCAGTTTTGTTGAGGAAGGCTGGAACCATCGTGGTCATCCGACTACTGACAATGCTATCTAACCGATGCGGTCCAATGCTTTGCTTGTATCGAAGCACGCAGTGGTCATACAAAGTACTGGGGAGTGTGTGGCTTGGCCACTTCCAGGTACTAACTCAGCGTGAATTAATGCAGATACTGGTGTAGGACCCTCC